GCGTTAGATCATTATACCAGGGTGCTATTTTTTTTCTCTAATTATTTTTCTTTTGAGTGGAGCCACTCTATCTAGTGTGCAGCGGAGTGTTGACTCCAAACTTTCAGTTGCCTGATCGAGTTCTACTGGATCAGGCGCTGATCAAATCTAATTGATGTCTCTGGTAGGTTATTTATGAAGCTCCAGTGCAGTAGCTGATGTGAATGTGCGTTTACGCGTGATGGCAGCGAGGTGGAGATATTATGATCAATACGGATTATGAATGAGATAAGATAGTGGTCTGAGATAACTTCAGACTGTGGAAAAATTTCAATATTTTCTATACTTAGTCCGTATGTTAGTATGAGGTCAAGAGTGTGACCACCATTATGAGTAGGCCCGATTACGTTCTGATTAATCTCTACTGAATCTAAGATGGACACGACCGCTGTTCTCAGAGGGTCCTCCAGGCTATCAAAATGAATATTAAAATCTCCGACGATTAATGCTTTATTTACAGACACAACCAGGTTTGATACAAAGTCTGCAAATTCACTAAGAAATTCAGTATATGGCCCTGGGGGTCTGTAAATAATAATTAGAGGAATTGACATATTTTTTGTGGCTACGTAATTTACACTGGTATAAAGAATTTCAAAGGAATTAAACTTATGACTATATTTTTGTGTGACGACTAGATTTTCACTATGGATAAGACCAACACCTCCACCTCTACCAGTTGAACGAGGCTGATGTACATAACTGTATCCAGGAGGACTGGCTTCATTTAATGCTACGTACTCATTTGGTTTAACCCAAGTTTCCGTTAAACACATTAAATTACATTCCTGGTCAGTAATGATGTCGTTGATAATAAGAGCCTTAGACATAAGAGATCTAACGTTTAATAGTCCTAGCTTCAGATCAAAAATGCTGGCTGTGCATTCAATATGATTTAATTTTATGTTAATTAGGTTACGAAGGTTACGAGATTTCCTATATATTTGTATAGCTCGGGGAACAGACACAGTCTCTATAGTATGTATTACTGTTGATGGACTACAAATTGAACATTGATTAAACTGACTGTTATTGTCAGAAGATGTACTTACGGTAGACAGTCACTTGGAGTGAAGCGCCTTGGAGATGTTGTCGGACAGCAGTTCCGCTCCAACGCTGCTGGGGTGCAGGCCATCAGGACGAAACAATTAATATTTAACATAGAAACAGATACTCACATACATTAACCAGTTGAAGAACGAAAGTAAGACACCGGGCCCGTGAGTGAGGAGAGGCAAGGGACGAAATTTATTGTTGCATGATATCACACAGTTGAGACGTCCCAAGGATGATCTAAAAAAACCAGAGCTGAAGCTCTGAAGGAATTGCAGCCCATGGCAGCCATGTGTGTGGACCGCAACGCAGGATGGAAAATGTAGTTTGTGACATGAGTAGATTTAACACCAATTTAATATGATAAAATACAGTTTAAATGAAATGGATACATTTAAAAAGGGAATTTTATGCCTTTCAAAAATGGCACTCAGCAAAGGAAACAAATGGGTGTTCAATTGAAACAAAGCTCATAGATGTGTAGAACACCATGTGAAATCCATATCATGAGGAACTGAAGCTGTTCTCATAGCAAAGGTGGTCCTACCCAGTATTAGTAAGATGTTCTTAGTAAATTAGCTGGTGAGTGTATATACAAAAACAAGTAAAATTTTGCACTCCTGGTGAATTCAGTAATGCAAAATTCATGTAAAATACTACTATAGTAAACCCTGTTTGCGTATGTGTGTGTGTGTGTGTGTGTGTGTGTGTGTGTGTGTGTGTCTGCCTCCTTTCTTCATCCACAGCCGCTGTTTGACCACACCCCCTTTGCCACAAGTATTTTTTCTAAAAGTGTTTGTAGTAGGCCAAATCACTTTACCCAACATTAATTTTTTATACTCTCTCTCTCTCTCTCTCTCTCTCTCTCTCTCTCTCTCTCCGCTCTCTATTTCACAACACCCCAGAGTAGGCCTTCCACCAAAAGTCATTAACAAACCCTGCCAACGGATCTGTCTTTTCTTCATCAATTCTATTTATTTATGTCTATTCCTTTTTAATATATTTCTGTTTGTTAAGGAAAATAGGTGTCTGCCCCCCTCCAACTGTACACTTTGTTGAGCCCATACTCAATGCAAGTTCGTTGATATATTTTAGCCGCTCAGTCTGTAAGAAATGGAGACAGCAACATACAAGCTTTTTTTTCGGACTTTAAGTAAGTAGATACCTAAATAGTAGGCAACCTTAGATTAGTATAGAAGGCATCATATCATGGCTTGATTTGTTCTTAAGAACGTCAATTAACTTTTGATATTCGCACACCCATGAAGTAGGCTAGGCTATGGGTGTATAAGTACCGCGCGCTGACCGATTGCGCCACTGGAGTCCTGAATAGTGGTGACTCTGATGAATTGTGTGGGTTCCATTCAGGTTGTCTGGTTTCCTCAGACCCCAAAAACAGGCTCTATTTTGGGAATTAGTGTTAACTTTGTCAGCCATTCTTAGTCTTACACCTGTGTCAAATATCCAACCATCCATCCATCCATCTTCTACCGCTTATTCCTTCTTCAGGGTCACGGGGAACCTGGAGCCTATCCCAGGAAGCATCGGGTACAACGCGGGGTACACTCTGGACAGGGTACCAGTCCATTGCAGACATTTTAGCATGTTTAGGTTCCTCTCAAGGTTTCTTCCTCAAAAAACATCTTAGGGAGTTTTTCCTTGCCACCGTCACCACTCAGTGGCTTGCTCAGTTGGGATAAATTCCATTTGTTTTATACCTGTTTGTCTCTCTTTATCTGTTTCTGACTGTTTATACCTGTTTTTTATTTCTGTAAAGCTGCTTTGAGACAATGACTATTGTAAAAAGCGCTATACAAATAAAATTGAATTGAATTGAATTGAGTTTAGTCAATTTTATTCTGTTTTTAGTCAAGTTTTATTTGACTAAAAGTCTGGTCATTTTAGTTTTATCTTAGTCGAAGAAAAGCAGAAATATTTTAGTCTAGTTTTAGTTACTGAAAACTGTTGAAATTTTCAACAATTCTGGAATCTCTGAATGTCATTCAGACATTTGTTCACACCTATTGACGGAGTCAGTGCGATAAAAAAATGAAAGTGGTACCGTAAAAGCCCACAGTGACACTTTACAAACCTTATTTATCTCCATGTATGGTACACTTTCAAGTTATTTTAACCAAACCTGCTGCTTGCATGTTTTTAGCAGGTGGGAGAAAACCAGAGAACCCTGAATTGTATATTTAGAGTCTGGGGCCCTGGAGCTGGTTGTGTTCTTTATATTCATATTGAAGTAGGATTCTGGTTACACTGAAAGTAAGAGTATGCTTGTAGGCTGTTCTTAAAGACTGTGCTCCAGGTGAGGCTCAAACTCACAACCTCAGCATTGCTTCACCTGTACTGCTGTATAAGTACCGTGCGCTGACCGATTGCGCCACTGGAGCCCTGAATGGTGGCTCATTTGACAGTTTCTTGGCAGTCTGCTAAATAATCTGTGTGCTGGATGATTTTGCGAGCCTTCCTCAGACATTATGTTTGGAAGATGTCCTGTAAGGCTGGGCATTTGTTTCCATTAATGAGTTCAGCTCAAAACCAGACAGGCATGAACACAGTCAGGATGCTCTCTATGGTGCTTTTGTAGAAATTTAGAAATTTAATCTTCGGAGCACCTGCATCTCATTTCCCTGCACTTTTTTACCTGCTCCCAGTGGGCATTTGACAAAGAAATCTCGAATATCTCTGAATGTCATTCACACATTTGTTCACACCTAATTAAGAACTTAATTGGTAAATTGTGCACTAATGTTCAGAAGAAAAGACATTGTTGTGTTTCCTCCAGGTTCTCTGCTTTCCTCTCTCCTGCCAAAAACATGCAGGTAGGTCGACTGAGTATGATAAAATTACCCCACAGGTCTGAAAGATTGTGTGAATGAATGTTTTTATTGTACCTCACACCTAGAGTTCCCTGGATCCACCACAAACAGAATCAGGATAAAGTGGATAATGAACATATAATTCTTCCAACTCATAATACATCCATAATCATTAAGAGAGTTTGTGCTCTTTATATTGCAGTATAATCAGGACACACTGAAACTTTGGAAGCATTGTTTAAAATCCATGCTCCAGGTGAGGCTCGAACTCACAACCTCGGCATTGCTTCACCTGTACTGCTGTATAAGTACCGCGCGCTGACCGATTGCGCCACTGGAGCCCTGAATGATGGTGATTCTGATGAATTGTGTGGGTTCCATTCAGGTTGTCTGGTTTCCTCAGACCACAAAAACAGGCTCTAAATTGTGAATTAGTGTTAACTTTGTCAGCCATTCTTAGTCTTACACCTGTGTCAAATATCCATCCATCCATCCATCCATCCATCTTCTACCGCTTATTCCTTCTTCAGGGTCACGGGGAACCTGGAGCCTATCCCAGGAAGCATCGGGTACAAGGCGGGGTACACTCTGGACAGGGTGCCAGTCCATCGCAGACATTTTAGCATGTTTAGTCAATTTTATTCTGTTTTAATCAAATTTTATTTGACTAAAAGTCTGGTCATTTTAGTCTTATCTTAGTCAAAGAAAAGCAGAAGTATTTTAGTCTAGTTTTAGTCACTGAAAACTGTTGAAATTTTCAACAATTCTGGAATCTCTGAATGTCACACCTATTGTCGGAGTCAGTGCGATTAAAAAAATGAAAGTGTTACCATAAAAGCCCACAGTGACACTTTACAAATGTTATTTATCTCCATGTATGGTACACGTTCATACCTAAGTTATTGTAACCAATCCAGCTACTGCCATGTTTTTAGCAGGTGGGAGGAAACCAGAGAACCCTGAATTGTATGGTAAGAGTCTGGGGCCCTGGAGCTGGTTGTGCTCTTTATATTCATATTGAAGTAGGATTCTGGTTACACTGAAAGTAAGAGTATGTTTGTAGGCTGCACTTAAAGACTGTGCTCCAGGTGAGGCTCGAACTCACAACCTTGCTTCACCTGTACTGCTGTATAAGTACCGCGCACTGACCAATTGCGCCACAGGAGCCCTGAAGAATGGTGATTCTGATGAATTGTGTGGGTTTCATCCAGGTTGTCTGGTTTCTTCAGACCCCAAAGACAGGCTCTCTATTGATTGTAGGAATGAATTAGTGTTAACTTTGTCAGCAATTCTTAGTCGTAATCCAGTGTCAAATATCATTGATAGTTGTTATCATATTTAGTCAATGTAATTCTGTTTTTTAAACAAGTTTGAGCCAAGACTAAAAGTCTGGGCATTTTTTTATATTGTCTATATGGCGTATTTATTGTTCTCTTTATTGAACCCCATGTCTTCGGAGCACCTGCATCTCATTTTCCTTCACTTTTTTACCTGCTACCAATGGGCATTTGACAAACAAATCTCGAATCTCTCTGAAAGTCATTCACACAGTTGTTCACACCTAATTACGAACTCAATTGGTAAATTGTGCAGTAATGTTCAGAAGAAAAGACATTGTTGTGTTTCCTCCAGGTTCTCTGCTTTCCTCTCTCCTGCCAAAAACATGCAGGTAGGTCGACTGAGTATGATAAAATTGCCCCACAGGTGTGAAAGATTGTTTTTATTGTACATCCCTGCCTCACACCTAGAGTTCCCTGAATCCACCACAAACAGAATCAGGATAACGTGGATAATGAACATATAATTCTTCCAACTCATAATACATCCATAATCATTAAGAGAGTTTGTGCTCTTTATATTACAGTATAATCAGGACACAATGAAACTTTGGAAGCTGTGTTTAAAATCCATGCTCCAAGTGAGGCTCGAACTCACAACCTCAGCATTGCTTCACCTGTACTGCTGTATAAGTACCGCACGCTGACCGATTGCGCCACTGGAGCCCTGAGTGATGGTGATTCTGATGAATTGTGTGGGTTTCATCCAGGTTGTCTGGTTTCCTCAGACCCCAAAGACAGGCTCTATATTGTGATTTAGTGTTAACTTTGTCAGCCATTCTCTGTCTTACTCCTGTGTCAAAAACCCTCAATAGATTTTAGCATGTTTAGTCAATTTTATTCTGTTTTTAGTCAAGTTTTATTTGACTAAAAGTCCGGGCATTTTAGTCTTATCTTAGTCGAAGAAAAGCAGAAGTATTTTAGTCTAGTTTTAGTTACTGAAAACTGTTGAAATTTTCAACAATTCTGGAATCTCTGAATGTCATACAGACATTTGTTCACACCTATTGACGGAGTCAGTGCGATAAAAAAATTAAAGTGGTACCGTAAAAGCCCACAGTGACACTTTACAAACCTTATTTATCTCCATGTATAGTACACATTAGGCACATGTTCATACCTAAGTTATTTTAACCAAACCTGCTACTAGCATGTTTTTGGCGGCTGGGAGAAAACCAGAGAACCCTGAATTGTATAGTATAAAGAGTTACTTTTAGCCCTCCATCAATGCCTTAACATTGTACATAGTACTAATAATATCATAGGCTTTATATTTCATCAGGTATAATCCTTCTGGACCCAGAAGAACCTGGAGCCACCTCAAAATAAAACACCAACCTTCTCTAACAACTTTTCTCTATGTTCTATATAGCCACAGGAAGAAGGCAGAGGCCCATAAAGTGGGTGGGGGACCACTAGTACCTTAACTCACTCTGGCTGAGGAGCTGACACTGTCCTTTAATCAAGGGGGCAGTTCATCAGAGTCGGCTACCTCCCATGACACAAGTGGCTTGGTAAAATCTAAGTGTAACATATTAGTACTTAGGACTTTGAATGTTTAATAAAGTTTCCAGTGCTTTAATTAATTTATCCTTAAACAATTAAGATAACAAACCACAATGTAAAAATAAATTTTAATGTAACTCTTTATTGTCCATGTTTCGCTTGTGTATTATGCACCTTTATTTTATTTTACTGCATATGGTGTGTACTGTAATCATAATTGTAATGCCCCTACTAGATCCTTATGTCTTTGTATATTGCTTTTCCAGACATTTATATCAACTATATTGAATTATTATTCTGCCTCTGTGGGGAAAGCAGGACCTCACTCTCACGGCGCAGTACTGGCCAATCCCTTCTATGGAAAGTAGCTAAGGTTTGTCCGAACGCGTTAGCTAGATGTCGCTAGGTGCTTTTTGAAAAACAAAGTTGCTAAATTGTTCTGAGCAGCGGACTGGGGCTGTCTGTTAAAATGAGTGAGTGAACAGTGGGGAGGGAGGAGGGAGGAGCTACAGCTGGGTATCATATTTTGAGTGAAAGGATTGTGTTCTATCACAAATATAACTTTTAAATTTATTTAATGATTTTGTATTTATTTGCTTTTTAATATATATAATTCAAGCAGTTTTTAAGCACTGCTAGATAAAAAAAAGGCTATTTTCAAGATTTTCCAGTACTTAAATTTCCAAAAGCCAAATTCAAGCACTTCAAGCACTTTGTATGAACCCTGTTGTGATAACAATAATTTTTCATAGATTTAAAAAAACAAAAAACAAACTTCTAGTACTTCTAAGTAATAAATATATAACATCAGCTAGCTAGTATTTCTAAGTGCTATATCCAAACCCACACATGTGATGGTCTTTTTGTGTTGGGTTTTTTTTTTCTTCTTCTTCTTCTTGTTTCAGATATATTTCTGCCACCTGTAAATCAGAAAGACAAAAGTCTTGACTGTAATATCACTCAGTTAAAATAAATATATCAATGAATTAATAAATAAGTAACAGTCAACTTATTTTCTACAAATTTCATGAAACTGTCAAGAGAGATTTTAGTGTATTTAATAAAAGTTATATCACACTGCTGTTGCACTCTGGAATCTGATCAGAAGGTGTGAAGGCTAGAATTCATATCTCGGGTTTATATTAATGTGCTCATTGTAATAAGTTATCCTTTCTATAATAGCAAATCATTCACAGAGACTTCTATAGCAAACGCTCCACATAATCAAAGTCTAATAATAAACAGATTTGTGTTGTATTTTTTTAAATAAAAACATTGATAGTCATTGATACGGTGAAGCTATCTGTAAGGAGGTGTTTATTTAACATTTATGGTAAGAGACTGGGGTTTCAGCACTCTGTAAGATTTCCACTATGGGAGTCTTCAGCAAAAGGGTTTTTTCATTAAATGGCAAGTGATGAAAGAAGGAGAAACTAAGCTGTAATAACGTGGACATGTTATTTTACATGTAAAACAAGTTGCATTATATTCATCTTGCATTCTAAAATTGATCGCATATGAATTATGTAAATTGGAATGAAGGGCGCGTCTCGTTATCCATGGCATTGTTAAATCATTCAGAGAGACACCTGTGCTTGCTTCTTTTTACATTCACATCTATGTCAATTGCTGTGCGGTCACCTGGATGTGCTGCTCCGGCTCTCAGCCACTCACTGAACCGAGCAGACACAGAGAGAGGTGTGAGTGCAGTGGCCAAGCAAGACCTTGTGCTTGCAGGACAGTACTGGTGAAATTTGAAAAGTTGCTAAGGTTTGTCCAAAAAGTCGCTAGATTTGTCACTAGGCAGTTTATTTTTCCAAAAAAAAGTCTCTAAAGGGGACTGAAAAGTTGCGAAGTTGGGAACACTGGTCTGCACTGACAGCTAGATAAAAGACAGGCTAAGCTGCGCCTCTCTCCAGCAAAAAGAAAATGGAGAGGGAACGCAGGGTTTTTCATTTAGGCACATTCTATTTGAAAAGCAATAAAATACAGGGAGTACCCAAATGATGACCTGTCTTGTGTTTTTTTCTTGAAAACAATTTGCACCCCCCTTCCGATCTCTCCCCCTTGGGTCGTGTCTCCCTGGTTGAGAACCACTGTTCTACAGCATTAAATGTAATTGTTCCCAAATTGTTGCGGTATAAAAAGAAATCTATTCAGGACATGCTATAATTGGAAAATATTTAACTTCGGGTGGTAATAGTAACTCTGCTTGATGCCTGCCCCCGTGCACATAAGTCCTTCATTGATTATTTTAAATGTAATAGGATTATTTTCCTATTACAGTTTCCTATTACATAAAAAACAATGTCTGCTTTCTGCCAGTCGGCTTTCAGCAGATAGGTTACACAACTAGCATTGAGCTATCTTCACAAAATGTGATATGTGTATGTATGTTCACGTATGGTCTCTTTATTGTTCTATGAATCTCGACAAGAACTGGCCAGTGGGGGTGCTATATGCAAGGAGTGTTTGGACCCTGCAGATTGCTGCTTATGGCTATATTACTATTATTATTTGCAGTAGAAGTAGTTGTATTATTATTATTATTATTATTATTATTATTATTATTATTATTATTATTATTATTATTATTATTATTGCAGTAGTAGTAGTGATATTTCCTACCATTTTTTAAGTTTCAGTTTCCACCTTTGGTTCCTTTGTCCAACGGATCTGAAGCACTGAAGGCTGGACATTCGCAGATATCATCTATGATGAAAAATTACTATTATATATATATATAATAGTATATATATATATATATATACACAGTGCATCCGGAAAGTATTCACAGCGCTATTCACTTTTTCCACATTTTGTTATGTTATAGCCTTATTCCAGTATGGATTAAATTCATTATTTTTCCTCAAAATTCTACAAACAATACCCCATAGTCGCAACATGAAAGAAGTTTTTTTGAAATCTTTGCAAATTTATTAAAAATAAAAAACTTTTTGTGAGATACTGTACAAATAATTGAATTGAATTGAATTGAATTGAATTGGAAAAACAAACAAACAAAAAAAACACATGCACATAAGTATAAGTGTTTCATCATGTACAGCAGTTAAAGACCTTGGAGTGATTATTGACTCCAGCCTATCATTTGCTGCTCATGTGGATAATATTACTAGGATAGCCTTCTTTCATCTCAGAAATATTGCTAAGATAAGAAATATAATGTTACTACACGATGCATTCGTCACCTCTAGATTAGATTACTGTAATGCCTTACTGTCTGGATGTTCCAGTAGGAATATAAATAAACTCCAGTTAGTCCAGAATGCAGCTGCTAGAGTCCTTACTAGAACTAGATAGATA